GCGCATTATAAAGATGTAGAATCGCTACGTAATCTAGATGATTGTAATACTATACGATGCGGAAAACACGCAAAGAATTGCGCTTTACAAAATGTATTTAAGATATTTAACTGGTGGTCGCGACACCAAGAAGAATTGTAAGATTTTTAAATAAAATCTATATTATCTTACATTAATATGTTTATTTCTATTACCCTTATACCTGTAGACATTTAAATAAATATAGCAGATAGATGTTGAAATGAACTGATAGCGGTTCGATATCAGTTCGATAGCTGTGTACAGTGGGCCAATAGCTGTTTGAAAGCTATTTATAGCTGTTAAATATCAGTCCGATGGCTGTTTACAGCGTACCGATGGCTGTTTATAGTTGCTTTGTTAGCAGTTCGGTATCGATTCGATATCAGTTCGATAGCAGTTCGACAGTCGTTCGATAGCCGTTCGATAGTGGTTTGATAGAGGTTTGATAGCTGTTTATAGCTGTTAAATATCAGTCTAATAGCTGTTTGATGGCGGTTTGATATAAATCTAATTGCGCTTCAATGCGAAGAACGGATAAAAGAAATACTGAGGTAGTGTAATCTTTCGAGCGCGAAATATACCTTTGGCCGAGGCATTGTACTTTCGTCGCTGATATAAAACGTTGGTGATATAAGTATAACAGATAAATGCTGAAGTTTCTTCATAGAATCTTTTGCACGCGTAATATAGTTTTTCAACGCGTGATATACTTTTTGCTTGAAACATTACACTTTTTGACTGAGACATTGCACTCTTGCATATCACATTATACTCTGAATTGATAACGGTGAGGATTCTTTTCAAAATGACATCATTGTTAAGTATGCCTTCCCCTATAAATTCTCGCACAGTCCCTCACTGTCAGTCATTCCAAGTCAATCTGGGCTGTCAGTCAGTTAACGGTCCTAACGGTTCATTTAGTCATTCTGCGATCGTTGATTCGTTGTGTGGAATAAAAACATGAATAACGTTAATGATTTAATTGATCTTATGGATGTTATTCGTGTTCAGTTGATGTTTCTATCTCAAAAGTCTACAACATTGTTTGGAAATGCGCTCAAGATTCGTGGAGCGGCTACAGATGTTGGTGAAAACGTACCAAAATCAATTCATGTCGCTTTGGATATTGCCAATGATAACATTCTGATGGGGAGAATGTAAGTATTATATTATTAGTATATTAGTAGAGAGAAAATTATGCTTAAATTGAAGAAACTATTTCTTTAAATTGTTCTCTTTTTTTCTTTTAGGCGTGGTACTATTGATGTAATAAAAAGATTGAACGATGTGATGGATTTGTTGATAACAACAGTTAAAAAAAAGGAGAGAGATGCTCAAATTTTGCGGTTAAGAATTGGGAAACGTAAACGACATGATGCTGATGACGATTATTATTATATTATTAGCGATAATGATGCTAATGTGGCTGCGGCTCATAATAGAGCACAGAAAAAATCTAGTAATACAGGTACTTATTCTTCGGATAATACTGTTTTAGAAAAAATAATAAAATAAAATAATTTAATAATATACTTGTTAAACTCGTGTCACTTTTCATTTATTTGATTTCCAGTGAGGAAGGATGGCAAAAATTAGCTCTATAATTGTGAAACATAAATGAAGTCATTCTGATGATTATTATGCAATTACTGATGACAATGCTAATGTAGCTGCAGCTGATGATAGAACATAGAGCATAGAGCATAAAGCAACGGGAATTCAACAATATATACTTATTCTTTGAATATTACTGTAGACACTGTGTTAGAAAGTTAATAAATAAATATACGTTAAACTTATGTTACGATTCACATATTTGATATTCGCTAATGTAGCTGCAGCTGATGATAGAACATAGAGCATAGAGCATAAAGCAATGGGAATTCAACAATATATACTTATTCTTTGAATATTACTGTAGACACTATGTTAGAAAGTTAATAAATAAATAAATATACGTTAAACTTATGTTACGATTCACATATTTGATATTCTTCTCTCTACCGCTCCTTCTTTCAATCAGTTAATATATTCAACATTTTTCTATGATTTCATATATAAATTAAAGATACGAAATTCATATGTAAATAAGAGATTAAAAATATATATAAATTACATAATCGATTTAAATATATACAAATGCCTACAAATACATTTTCTTCTCTGTCGCTCCTTCCTTTAATCAATCCATATTTTCAATATTTTTCTATGATTTCATATATGTAAATTAAAGATACGAAATTCATATATAAATAAAAGATTCAAAAAATTATAAATTATACAATCAATTTCAATGTATATCACTTAAGAATCCATAACGTAGGTACTCATTCTTTGGATATTGTAGTAAACACTATGTTAGAAAAGAAGAAAAAAGTTAATGAATAAAAATAAATAAATATATCTCGGTGTTCAAATTATATCTCGTTTAACCATTCCTTATCTCTACGGCATCACGTTACGCGCGAGTGCGACATCGCGCTCGACGTCGATCATCACGTGTGAGAGCATCACATAAAATAGTTTTGCGTGTGAGAAGCTGCGTTCGAGAAGAAGATGCATAAGAGCGAGAGAGACGGTAAGTATAAATGGTAAGTATAGCGATGGGGACCGGAGGCGGAGACCGGCGGCGGCGGCGGCGGCGGCCCTCGCGCGATGGCGACTGTGCTCGGCGGCCACTGACCCCGCATCATCGCGACGCGCACGCAACATCCCGCGCTACGTAATTTCCGCTACGCAATTTCCTGC